TATATATATATGTATGTGTGTGTATATATATATGTATGTGTGTGTATATATATATATATGTGTGTATATATATATATGTGTGTATATATATATATACTGCTCAAAAAAATAAAGGGAACACAAAAATAATACATCCTAGATCTGAATGAATTAAATATTCTTCTGAAATACTTTGTTCTTTACATAGTTGAAAGTGCTGACAACAAAATCAAACAATTAAAAAATGGAAATCAAATTTATCAATCCGTGGAGGTCTGGATTTGGAGTCACACTCAAAATTAAAGTGGAAAAACACACTACAGGCTGATCCAACTTTGATGTAATGTCCTTAAAACAAGTCAAAATGAGGCTCAGTAGTGTGTGGGGCCTCCACGTGCATGTATGACCCCCCTACAACGCCTATGAATGCTCCTGAAGAGGTGGCAGATGGTCTCCTGAGGGATCTCCTCCCAGACCAGGACTAAAGCATCTGCCAACTCCTGGACAGTCCACAATTGGATTCAGATCTGGGGAACCGGCTAGTTCATAGCATCAATGCCTCCACGGCGTCTCCAGACTGTGTCACATGTGCCCAGTGTGAACCTGCTTTCATCTGTGAAGAGCACAGGGCGCCAGTGGCGAATTTGCCAATCTTGGTGTTCTCTGGCAAATGCCAAACGTCCTGCATGGTGTTGAGCTGTAAGCACAACCCTCACCTGTGGATGTCGGGCCCTCATACCACCCTCATGGAGTCTGTTTCTGACCATTTGAGCAGACACATGCACATTTGTGGCCTACTGGAGGTCATTTTGACGGGCTCTGGCAGTGCTCCTCCTGTTCCTCCTTGCACAAAGGCGGAGGTAGCGGTCCTGATGCTGTGTTGTTGCCCTCCTACGGCCTCCTCACGTCTCCTGATGTACTGGCCTGTCTCCTGGTAGCGCCTCCATGCTCTGGACACTACGCTGACAGACACAGCAAACCTTCTTGCCACAGCTCGCATTGATGTTCTATCCTGGATGAGCTGCACTACCTGAGCCACTTGTGTGTGTTGTAGACTCCGTCTCATGCTACCACTAGAGTGAAAGCACCGCCAGCATTCAAAAGTGACCAAAACATCAGCCAGGAAGCATAGGAACTGGGAAGTGGTCTGTGGTCACCACCTGCAGAACCCTCTTTTATTGGGGGTGTCTTGCTAATTGCCTATAATTTCCACCTGTTGTCTATCCCATTTGCACAACATCATGTGAAATTGATTGTCACTCAGTGTTGCTTCCTAAGTGGACAGAAGT